GATTCGTTTTTGATTTTTTTTTAATGATTATTTTTTTAAATCATTTCATATTTTCGTACATATTTTTGGACTTGGATATAAAGTTATTTAACTTTTTCCTATTAAATTTAAATTTTGAAATGGAAATTTTTAAAGAAAAATATCAGATTTTAAACGTTTTTGTTGTTTATGCATGTGTGCTTATTTTTAATTTTTTTAAATAAATTTAATTGAATTTCTTATAAATTATGATACACCAATAAATATATAAATATACATATGTGACTCCTTTTAGAAAATTTCAATCAAGCTTTCAGATTTTTGCAATAGTTTCTTCCATCATAATTCTAATCTTATAAGCGAATGTGTTTAGAAATTCAGGCATCCGATTGAAACCATTTAAAACTTTTAGTTAGTAGATCAAATTAGTTTCTTTCGTTTTTTTTTTTTTTGTCGGAGCAGAAAATTGTTACGGTTGGGCAGATTCCGGGTGGGTTGTCTGTCTACTTCCTGAGCACGCAAGTCATTTCATAGAGTTGCCGACCCTTGCCGTGCGTTTCTGCCACAGGCAGCTGCGTGAGTTGATGTGAATGGATGGAATGGCTTTGACGGGCCGGCTGCTTGGCTCCTTGGCTGACTGGCTGGCTCACTAGCTGGCAGGCACTGGACATGAATATCAACAACGAGTAGCGAGCAGGAAAAGGACTTTACTCAATTTGACAAACATGACACAGAAACCCCCGGAGCTGACTTGCAATTTGCCCTGGACAGACACTTCTCTGCTTCTGCTTCTTCTGACGCTCCTCCTGCTCCTGTTGCCCTTCTTTTGCTGGTGCTTGCTGCCCCGCATTGGCAATTAAATTTTTAAAATGCCATTTCGAAAGCTATTTGGAGCGCCTATGCGAATGAGCAATGGCAACTGCGTGCCTGCCAGGACTAAGGACTACAGACCGAGGACCTAGTACTTAGGCCAAGAAATTGCCCTGGCATTGCGGACAGACAATGACAATATTTTCACAAAATAAACCTAAATTCAATTTCAGTTAGAACTGAGTACATGTGGTTGTTGTGTGTGTGTGTGTGTGTGTGGACAGACCAAAATATACTCTTGCGAGCAGAGTTAAAGGAATATTGCATTGGATATAAAATGAAGTAAACATGTGGGATTAGAGTATCATTTCTATAATAAATTTAGATGGGTGAAAAGTATGAAGTAGATTCAGATCTATATCAACAGAGATTGTACAAAAATATAACTGTATAAGTATGAAGTGAATATTCGTAGCATGGAAGATCATAGAAGTTGCCTTTCGAAGTGAGTAATTAAATTATTTTAAAATATTATAATAAATTTTATATTTCGAAAATTTGATTGAATATAATT